TTTAAAACAACCAACAGCCACACGATTCGAGAGGGGAAGGGAACTCATCGACCCCAGGCCTGCCAACACAGCCAGGTTTTGGCTGACGTCCTTCGACAGTTCTTTGAAAATTATGGATAATGATATAGGGTTAGTCAGTCGTAGGATTAGATGATTAGATGATGATTAGAAAGATTGGTAGAAAATCCTGTATTCATAAATTTACACATATGTATTTAAATTGACTTATTCACTTTTTGCAATATCTGTCCCAGTTATCAGAGACCATGAAAATAGATAAAGTGACTTTGTCTGATGGCAAGTTTTAAGATACTATTTAAAATTAATTAAAATACCAAAGGGAGGTGCTATTGGATTTTTTTTTCACTTTTCTTTTTTCTTAAAAGATTCAGACTGTATTTATTTATTTATTTATTATAAATTTGCTATATTCATTTGTAACATATTAACTTACTATGCTTTCCAGTTTGATTATATTTATATTGTCATTAACTTGCATTTTAGTACCTTGTTTATAATTTACCATTTTAGAACAATTACTTTGTTGCTTAAGTCACATGGAACAGTGGAAGGCATTGTATTGCTATAGGTGGATGGAAATCTGTTCAGTACAGCTTAGGAGAAGGGAAACCACTATAATGGGGATGGCACCTAGACAGAGAGCTGGATGTGCATTTTCTAATTTACAGTTGTTAATGAGAATTATGTCCTGATATTTACAGTGATTTAAAAAGCATCCAATTTTGAGCATGAATAACACTCCATTGCTAAATGATAACCCCTGAAGCTTTCTTTCTAAATAGATCTAGAACTGGTTTTCAGAAGTCTGGTAGCCTTAATGCTGCTTTCTAGTGGCACTGCTTAAATATAAGTAGAACAAATTTTTTTTTTTTATCTTGAAGAGCAGAGGCAGTTTAAGAACTTTGATATTGTTTGTGTGGTGTGTGTGTTACTTCAGATTCAAATTCTTATTCACAGCAGCAATACGAGTGAAACACTTTTACTAAATAGTGTAACAGAAGTTTGAATGTATACATCTCAGGACAACAGTAAACAGTTTCCCCTGTTTCTTCATCAGGTTCTTAACCAAGCGAGAGCAAAAACTGATGCAGAGGCGTCAGTACGCGGAGGAGCTGCTGCAGTGGAAGCAACGTTTAGATGCAGAAGAAGCAGAGATACGTCAGATAGAAAAACAAGCACAAGCTGCTTGGGAAAAAGAGCTGCCTAGAATAAAAGCAAATAAAAAAGGAGCAGGAGATCAGAAATCTGATCCAAAAGGTAGAAACTTGTTGGAGCGATAATTAAAAGTTGGTAAACTTTTTCTTTAAAGGGCCAGATTCCTTGTCTCTGCTTTCATGGGCAGAGCAGCCATTGGATAGCTTGGTTCAATGATAGGCTGCTGTTCTTGCCTAGGACACCCCATCCTCATTCATCATGGGAATTCAGCTGAGGCTTAATTCTAGCAATCTGTCTAGACGTGGCAGGCCAGATTTGGCCCATGGACCATGGTTTGTTGACCCCTGCTCTAAATCTTGTTATTCGAAATGTGCTGATTATGTGAAAAAAGTTTGGCTTATCCAAGTTATTTTGTTCAACAGAAGTACCTGTGCAAGGTAATATTACATTTCAGAAAATAGCTTTCATGTATTCAGGACCTGATTGTGTTCCAGTCAAGTATGATGTTGCATTCAAACATCATACTTATTCCAAATTTTTAAATGATTGGTTTTGGCTTATTTTTTGTATCAAACAGCTCTACTTAAAGGAGAAATAAAATTTCAGTATAAAAAGCAAATGAATAATAAATAAAATAATAATATAGAAATGTATTTCTCTAAAATTTTCAATATATTTTCGTACATGTTCATATCAGAGGTGGTATTCAGCTGGTTCTGATCAGTTCTGGAGAACCGGTAGCAGAAATTTTGAGTAGTTCGGAGAACCTGTAAATGCCACCTTTGACTGGCCCCTCCCCCATCCATTCTCTGCCTCCCGAGTCCCAGCTGATCGGGTGGGAATGGAGATATTACAGTATCCTTTCCCTGGAGTAGTATGGGAATGGAGATTTTACAGTATTCTCCACCTGCCACGTCCACCAAGCCATGTCCATCAAGCCACGCCACGCCCACCAAGCCATACCCAAAGAACCGGTAGTAAAAAAAAAAAAGCATCCCACCATTGGTTCACATGAAAAAGTAAATACAAGCATTGTAAAGTTTTTTTCTTTTTAACATCTCAATTGGTAGATGATCTGGGGAGTGGAATAATTGATGTCCAGTTGTTTGGAGATCTTTTTAAATCCCTTCCTAATCTCATGAGCTTCTATAACCTTTCTGAATTGTTTTTGAAGGCCTCAGAGAGCTCTTTTAATCTAAACACAAACTTCACCAAAAACAGCAA